TTGTGGTTATCAGATTATTACAGAGATTATTTGATAATTTCCTAATAATCAAAAATAGACATCAATTGTTATTGGTCTTTATAGACGACATCTTATTAGGTTATGGTTCATGTTCATCAGTGCTGGTGCGGCAGATGGAGGCTGCGTTAAGGGATTACAGTAACTCCTTCCACAGTCTGCAGTCACTCAGTCAAGTTTGGCATCCGATTATAGGCCACTGCTCCGTTCCCCGTTTTGGGAGGAGAGGGGAGGAGGGGTGAGGAGAGGGAGGAGGGGAGCTCACCGGCTCTGAGTCACATGTGCTGCGTGCTGCAGCTGACCGGATACCTGCCTCAGTCTGGAGCACACAGACTTGACAGTGTTGTGGATGCAGGCCACACGCAGCTCTGTGGAAACACACCTCAGGTGTCCTCTCAGTCTGCCATGCTCATCACATGGTGGTATTTATACCTCGCAGCTCGGAGCATCGCCCAAAAAAGCAAGTATAACGCTGGTGTTTCTGTGTCTGGCTGCAGTGTGTCTCTGTTGAAGGTGAACTCTGCAGAAGGACAAATGTGACAGAGCTCAGTCACTGGGTTTTCCTCTATTCTTGTAATAAATCTAGATCATGTCTGAGAGGTCATGCATCTATTAGTGCTTCTGAGAAAAGTGTCAGGCTTAATATGTGACTCCTGTGTACTGTGACGTGCTGTGTCCTGAATGCAGTATTTATGAAGTTGGAGCACGCAGCCTGCTCTCTGGCTGCAGGGATGTGTTCCTCTGTATGAAATGTACACACAAACACACAGACACACAGACAGACACACACCATGACTGACTCTTGTTTCCATCCATCATTTCCACTCCTCAGCTTTTAAAATGGCCTCAATCCTGCAGAAGCTCATCACCCCGGTCTTCAGTGGTCCTCCTGAGCCGCCCAGGAATAAAGTGACAGTGGTGGGCGTGGGCCAGGTCGGCATGGCCTGTGCCATCAGCGTCCTGCTCAGGGTAAGAGAGCCCCCCCCCCACTGGTTCTGCCTCCACTCAAATGAAACCCTCCTGCCTGCTGCTATCACAGGTTTGGGTAATACCCAGGATCCTTGGAGACTGACCCCGGATTACAGATCTCTTGGTGTCTGATCTGGGTGTTATCCCTGCACGGTGCTGACGAAGGTGTGGTGAAAGAAAGAAACTATTTGTTAAAATCTACCTGTCTGAACAGCTGCAACTACATGTACTGCTTGATCTTATGCATTGATAGCACTTCAACCAGTAACTGAAACAGTCAAAAGCAGATATGTTGCTAGATGAGTTTAAAGTTGGGTGAAGCAGAGTCATGTGACCTCTGGTGTGTGCAGGAGCTGGCTGATGAGCTGGCCCTGGTGGACGTGATGGAGGACAAGCTGAAGGGGGAGATGATGGACTTGCAGCACGGCAGCCTCTTCCTCAAAACTCCAACAATAGTCGCAAACAAAGGTACGTTCATATCCACATCATGCAATAAGTTTAAATCTCATAATTCAGGCATCGAGTGGCCGCCACATTCAAACCACTCCTTGCACGGAGAGCTCCAGCAGCTCACTCACAGACTCCAATCATTTGGAGAATCGTATGTGGGCGGCTTTTAAGCGAAAGTAGGACAAGTACGAGGGCCATGTCAACAGCTGCCAGAGGCAAGGCTGGAAGACAAGGTGCTTGCCTGGGGACTTAGGGTGAAGAGACTTTGCAGGACAGTGTCTCTGGCAGGGAGGAGGAGGAGGACCGTCTATAACAACCCAGAGGCTGCAGAGAAACCCTCCAGGTGGCTCTGGATCAAGAGAATGGATCCGAGGAGAGTGCGACAAGGGCACAAGTTGTGGCTTGATCAACCTTGGCTCGGTCTCCTGAGTGAGGGTGGTTGATGTTCGAAACCTCCAGGTACATCATCATACATCACCATCTCTTTCTCCTTCTCCATCAGATTACTCTGTGACAGCAAACTCCCGCATCGTGGTGGTGACAGCCGGAGTCCGTCAGCAGGAGGGGGAGAGCAGGCTGAACCTCGTCCAGAGGAACGTCAACATCTTCAAGCACATCATCCCCCAGATTGTCCGATTCAGCCCCGACTGCATCATCATCGTGGTTTCTAACCCAGGTACCGTCCAACCAACGTTTCCTCACTCGTCTTTTGTGTCTCACTCAAAGACAATGTTTTTAACAGCTCTGTTCAAACAGTGGACGTGCTGACCTATGTCACCTGGAAACTGAGCGGCCTCCCCAAGCACCGCGTCATCGGCAGCGGCACCAACCTGGACTCGGCCCGCTTCCGCTTCCTGATGGCTGACAAACTGGGGATCCACCCCAGCAGCTTCAACGGGTGGATCCTGGGAGAACATGGAGACACTAGTGGTAAGAATGTACGGCTCTAACTTGCCTGTGAGCAAACTGAAGAAAGAAAGAATCACTATCATATGTTCATGATGTTCACATTGTAGTGCCTGTGTGGAGTGGAACAAACGTAGCCGGAGTCAACCTGCAGATGCTTAACCCCGACATCGGCACCGACTGTGACGAAGAGAACTGGAAGGAGACGCACAAGATGGTGGTGGACAGGTAGAGTTCACTTCAGTAACTTCATGATAATAATTATAATGTTGAACTGTTGAACGTTCTGAGTGTGTTAAGTTGTCTCTGTGTGTGTCTCAGTGCTTATGAAGTGATCAGACTGAAGGGTTACACTAACTGGGCCATCGGTCTGAGTGTAGCTGACCTGACAGAGAGCCTCATGAGGAACATGAACAGGATTCATCCAGTCTCCACCATGGTGCAGGTAACGTCCACACAATCTGTTTGTCCTACAAGCAGGGTTTCTGTTTTTAATCCCTATCATCCATATATATATTAT